GGTAGGGTTAAGAGTAAAAAAGAATGGTAACAAACACGTAGTTGGACACGGACACAAATGTATTGGTTACATGTAGACGTTTTTGTATATTTCTGCGAAGATTTCAAAGCGACCTTTACCACTTTGGGAACAAAGGGTCGTCTCGGCCCGACTGACCTTGGACAACACTACAGCGGACAGGACCATGACGGTCTGGTGACACTCAACAACGGAATCCAACACTTCACAGTCAAACACACGGGAACTTACCAGATAGAAGCAGCAGGTAATGGTTAAGAGATCTGATGTTTGATTTGTAACAGGAAAAAGAAAATCCCGGGTTCGATTCCTGACATGCTACCGATCTTGTGCCCTTGGGAAAGGCACTTTCTTCACTTAAGTGAAAATTAGTATACTTCTGTCCTGTTTTTGTACTCTGTATAGGTGGTGGCATAAAAAAAAAGTTGATATAACTTGAGTGTGCCGTCGTGGCCGTCGCCATGTTTTGTCATGACATGTTGGAATAAAAGAAATCATTGATCATTTTGTCACTAAACGCAACTATGCTGCCTGCGATGTATTTTTTTCAGTCACCAAGTTTTAGTATTGGGTAGTTAAATTTGTGATAAAAATTTCGTTCTGACAGGCGCGGCTGCAGGGTGGTCCAATTCGTTGCAACAATTTCATGGAAAAGGCGCTCTAATGAAAGGGACTTTTCAACTTAATAAGGGTAAGTAGCAATCTCTAATTCACAAAAGAAATTAAAGGTAATTGTTGATTGAAACATAGTGGTTATGAAACGGTTCAGCAGGGGCAGGTATAATGGTATAGTATTGTGTGTTAGAATTCCATAGGAATACATAGTGTTTCCACTCGTATTTAGTTTGTTTTAGTACAATAACCAAGAAAATATTTTGGATTGTCATAAAAAACTTCGTAGGGTAGATTTCGATTTCATCATTTTCTAGAGAAACGACTTGAAATTCGGTGTAAAGGTACAGTGGGCGAAAACCCCTGGCATTTGAATACAGCTCTGCGGCGTTAAGGTCTGGTGTTGAGAAGAATAGGGGTAATACACACAATGCACTGCTGCCATGGAAGTCATAAATATCTCGACTTTGAAGCAACAAAATTGCATGAAATTTCTAGACAGTTATATATAGACAAGACACCATGCATTTAAAAATGTTGAATAAGTCTAGAAAATCGAATCGACATAATATCTCAATAATTAATTAGGAAATGTACTATTCGGTTTTACAAAGATAGGCTGGGATCCCACATTTCCCAATGGCAAGGAAGACAGAAATTTTGAGAGGATATAGGTGTTGTGATATTAAGCAAAGGTAGACGACACCCCTCCAACTGTCTGTAACTGACTAGTCCAGATTTAAATATTAAGTAGCTCAGTCTATTAGAGAAACAAAAGACTCTAGTTCCTCCTCTTTCTGTCTGGATCTTTTAGACTGAGCACATCCGCGTTTGTAACAATATTAACCCTGGCCTTCCGGATTAAAGCATGTAAAATGCAGTTCAAGGTCACTGTCCAAGTCTACTATCAAGTT